AATCTGCCCCCTAGTGAAAGCAAAGACATACTGCAAGACATGTTGGACCCGGATGGATCCAGAAAATGTAAAGATGAGAAACAAAAAACTGCAGCTGCCGGCGGCGACGCCAGCGGCGGCTGTGCAGTGATGCCGCAGACTTATGACAGATGTGTGATTCAATGATGTGAAGTTCTGGGCTCTTATAATAATCTTATCGCCAAATGCATATATGCTTGTAAAATATTTATCGTCAATCCAAACTGTAATTTTGATTAATTTCATTGCTTCAAAGTTGTTTTGATGGTCTCATGTACTCCATCACAGGCAGAAGGTGAAGTCTAGTGAGCTGAAATGTTGTAAAAAAAAAAAAAAAAAAAAAAAAAAAAAGTAGTAAACAAATCATGGGAGACCTTTCAGTTGTAGTCTAAAACATGTGCAACCTGTTTCTTTCTTTGAGAGCTGGCATCTAAATAAGTTTTCTTGCTCTCTCCGCCGACACTGTCCATCTGGAAACGCCAGTCATCCCGACAGCTGTTTAGATGTTCAGACGTTAATGAGCAGCAGAGGGGCTGCAGATGGGTGTTGTCTGTTGCTGCGCTTTGAACAGAGAAAACTCATCCCGTCACACCTCCTGCACAAACAACCAAGAAGATGCAGACTCAAAGCTATGGTCTAACACTTTGCATGTGCAAGCCGCCGGACGACTCATTTGTCATCGTGTCACCTGCTTCCTTTCCCTCCTTCCTTATGTGAAGTTGTCCTTTTCAGAGGTGTTGGTGCACCTTCCTCTTCAGGTTAAACATGGTGTGTAAGGTTCACACATGGTTTTCTCAGGCTGAGACATTATGGATGAGTTGCTTCCAGATTAAGAAAGGAAATGATTGTCGAGGCAGATATAAGACATTTATTAATAATCTGTGTCGAGAGCTACAGAAATGCTTAATTCGAAAACCATTTGTAGAAAAGAAAAAAAAGATATTGTGATTTATTGCCAACAGTCAGTTTTCTTCTAATTTATGTCACTATCAATCTGGTAACTTTATACAGCTTTACTGTTCAGTAATTTGATTAAATGGCAAATGACAAATCCCTTCCTCCTCCATCTGCTGAGACTAGACTCCAAACTCGCCCATTTCAGCTGTTGTCATTAACACTAAAGATTTATCATCTTTAATCATCATAGTTCTTAATCTTATTATAAACAGAGGTCTTTGTAAAAAAAAACTAAGACTTTCACAATATAACAGTCAAATATTTCATCAGTATGAGCAGGGTATGCGGGGTGTTCCTTCTGCATCGTTTCTTAAATGAACCAGGAATTTGTAAAAACTGTATCTACAATTGCTGAAAAAAAGAAACCGAGAAACCAACTGTCAAGTTCACGATACTGACACTACTGTAGCTTATGGTTTCTTCTAGTCTCTTAAGAGAGTAGTGAACCATTTCCATGACCCCGAAAATCCTCAGAGCGAACACAAGTGTCTTAGTTTATTGTGAGGTTCACACAGTTAGGTATTCTTTGAGTTTGTCCATGATGACAGGCATTCTGTCGGCTGGTATCAGCATCACTGTCCTGAACGGCTTCATGGGGACGTCGTCGAACGACCACCTGCCGCTCAAACAGGAGTCTGCCTCCTCCTGGACCGAGTAGTGGAACTTCATGATGGCTTGCTGTAAGGAGAATACAGACGATGTTTAAAACTGCAAGAATATTATATACAAATATTTGAAATATTTAAACTAATAAGATAAACTATTTTTTATCTTTTGTCTGAGACTTGTATATAAAGGTAAGTTTACATCTAAAGAACCAAAAGTGTTATCATCCAAATACAAGCACTCCCTGTACATTATCATTTGTAGACTGCTTGACTGTACCTCATAGAAGAATTCCTCCTCTGCATTGACAAACATGTATTCCTCTTTGGGCGCGCCTCCTCTGGCTGGGATACTCTTGGTTGCCTCTTTGCAGGTCTTGCTGATCATCAGACAATAGTGACACCTCCCACTGGGCTTGTTTGTCCTCTGAGCTTCAGTGATTTCTTCTCTGGAGGACAGAATTACATTCTGTTTATTTCCCTGCACACTCCACTCTCCAAAGACGGACTTATTCAAAGCACAGAGATACTACAGATACTCCATCAGAATCATAAGCAAATTTGAATGTATTCATAAAAAGCAGTCAGCCTATCTTCAAAGTTTATTCATCTTTCACAAAGCACCATAAGGTCAAGTATCTATTTTAACAACACAGCTTCAACAATAATTCTCAGTTCATACAGAGTACAGAGGCAAATGCAGTTCGCACTAATTGCCAAGACTGGAAAGGTTCCTCCACAGTGTCACATCCAGGAAACAACGATGTGATAAAAGCAAACGGGTGAATACAGTTTTACCTTTTAGTGGCACCGTCTCTTTATTCTCAAATGCCACCCTGACAATGTCTTATCATTACCTCTGCTGTTGCCCCCACAATTCAAAATGCTGACTGACTGACTACAGCATCCCAACACAAATTCAATTATTTTGGTTGAGAACTGTATGCACTGTAAACACAGATATACATGCAGCAAAACTGCAATAAAGTGCTGCAGTTGGAACAATATTATTTCCAATATTATTTCCCTAGAAATAAACTTTGAGGCATAGTATGATAAAATTGCAAGATACATATTTCACAAGTTATGATGATGCATTCAATGGCACCTTTACTTCCATTTTTATGAAAAGCTATCAAGATGCCTCGAGGGGAAAAGGGTTATGATAATTTGGAGTAGAACTCACTGGAGCTGTTTGTGCAGTGGAAGGGCGATCTGTGGGGGTACGTTGATGAAGCGCTCGCTCAGCAGCAGCCCCACAGGCTTGCTGGTGTCATTGAAGATGTGCTCTAGCTGCTCTGTCACGCTGTGGGTCGCGTTCTTCTCACACTGATCCACGATCAGCTCCTTCACCTCCTCCACGCACTGCACACCCTGCCAGCAGCATGACACACACATATAGTTAACTTAAACTGAATGGTCACAGCCTATGAGAGCCAAATAGTCTTTGAGGCGTCTGTGGTGTTACCTTTCTCTCTGTTAGGTTGAGCATAGTGATGAATCCAAACACTTCATCTGGATCATCGTCGTCACTGTCCTCTGGTACCTCAGCTTGCTGGAGCAAAGTGAAGGGACAGGTGAACACATGTTAGAGCTGAAGTTGTTGAACAGTCACCTATAAAATGATGGCAGTTAGACTACTGAGCAACTCACCCTGATGACACTTCCAACATGATTCTGTTGAACGATGATGTCTGTCATCTCTGATGTATTTACATGGGCCTTCAGGAAGAGCTGTGGCCAAACATAACAGAAGTGAAACCAGTGAAGCCATGCTTCACCTAAAGCATAACATATAAAGAAGCTACCATGTCATTACCAATCACATTATTAGGAACACCGGCACACCTGCTTTTTCATGCAATCATCCAATAAGCCAATCATGTGATGGCAGTGCAATATATTAAATCTTACAAATCAGGAGCCTCAGTTAATGTTCACATCAAACATCTGAATGGGGGGGGGGAGAGAAGGTAAGTGCCATGACTTTGACCATAGTATATTTGTTGGTGTCAGATAGCTGAATTGAGAATTTCAGAAACTTGTTTCATAAACATGACAATGACTTTAGTGAACTTCAGTTGCCTCTACAGCCACCAGATTTTAATCCAAGAGAACACCTCTGGGATGTGGTAGCGCAGGAGATTGGCAGCATGAATGTGCAGCTGAGAAAGGTGCGGAAAATTATGTGATGTAATCATGTGAATGTTTACAGCATTGAGGCTATTTTGAGAGCAAAGGGAGGCTCTGCACAGTATTAGTATGGTGTTCCTAATAAAGTGCGCAGTGAGTGTACATACTGTCCCAAACCTGTTGCAGCAGTTTCTTGATGCCATTGAAGTCGCTGTGTGAAATGGCGTGGGCTTCGAAGTCCACAATGACCTCCTGAATAAGAAACGATAACAAAACACAGAGCATTTACCAACAGCCTGTATGGAGAGTAATTATTTACAAGTACTTCTGTTAATATAATAGAGCAGCTGTTAGCTTATTACCAAATAAGTTACATTAACGCAGTAACGTTACTCCTTAAATGGGACAGTCCATATTATCTCATATACTTATTTCAAACCTGCCTAACAGCAACACTAACTACAGCTCACGTCGACAGCTGGGTTAGCTAGCTCAGTAGCTGGCTAGCAAGGCCAATGTGCCAATATTTTGTTATTTTTACCTCATTGATCTCTTCCTCTGATGCCTCGCTGTCCTCCTCCCCGGAATCATCATCCTCCTCCGGATTCTCATCGGAGCTGTTGTCACTTTCCCCGGGATTTTCACCCAAACCTACTGCTCTCCTCTTAGCTGATGAAGCCATGCTGCAAACAGGTAACACGCGTGTCAACTGAGTGGGCGGGGCTAATGTAATAGTTCCGCTACAGCGCGCCAGGAAAGTGATTTTGTGAAGCCGCCATTATGGCTCCAAATGTGGACGACTTGCCGCTTGCCGTTGCAACCTTCAGCGCCGCAATGCCGTCTTGTCACTCAGTACTAAAATGGAACAAACCATTTAGAAAAGGGGTCTTAGTTCTTTGAACTATGCATAACCATAAATTACGTTATTATTATAAACGGGTATTCGCATTACATGTTATCATCATTGAATTATATTATTGTGATGAATTACGTTTTTTATACATATAATTTGTTTTTTGTGAAGTTAGTCAAATATCCAGTATTATGTCTCCCCTTCTTGAACGTTGCAGAAGTCGTTATGCGCTCAGCCGTATGAACAACTCAAGGTACATGAATTTTATGTAATATTTAGTCTTTTTATACTATCTGTTGTAGAATCTATCACTGCACAACACGAGAAAGATAAATGAGTCGCTTATTATCGCTAGGCATAACTGACAGGTTCAATTAAGCGGACGGTTGCTTCAGGTAAACTGTCACTCAGTGTGTCTTGCTAATGTAAACAATAACACGGAAGAAGAGATTAACCACGTTTCAGCTGAATACAACAGTTTCATCTTGAAAGTGGGGCATTATTGCTCTTTATTTGCTGCCCATATACAGTCCAAAAATCGTGACTCGACACTGTTGCTATCAGCAGGCTGCATATGACAGTTTTAGGGTGTAGCTTAGCTTGCTGTGCCTTCACACCCACAGTCCTCGATGTTTTTGCAATTTAGTCAACGACTGGCTGCATTTTTGACAGCGGTATTCATATTCCACGCTGGGTTCTACTGTTTTATTCTTCCCCATTTATTTTGTTGATCCAGTATTTTAAAGTCACAAGATGCATGTGCTGCTGCTCAAAGAGCCAAGAGATGGAGACTCTGGACCTGATCCTTACATCAAGGTAGATTCAGTTTTTCCATTTTAACTTGGATGTAATGGTATTCAGTTCAGATATAGCAGTAGTTAAATTTTTATGCTTTGCATTTGACTGCACAGTTTGAGTCCATTATTTTGATTCCCCAGGAGCTGGCGTCACATGGTCATAAAGCCACCCTAATTCCCGTGCTGTCTTTTAAGTTTGTCTCATTAAACACCTTGTCAGATAAGGTAAATATTGTGACAGTATGAAATGAACATATTTGTCATTTATTTGTTTTTTGTTTTTTCCATTGTCGGTTGTTTAAGATGTCTTTTTACTTTTCAGCTTTTCCAACCAGAAAAACACGGAGGCCTTATATTTACCAGTCCAAGAGCAGTGGAGGCTGTGAAGATGTGCTTGGAAGCAGAGGAAAGAAGGGAAGGTGAGAGGATACAGAGAAATGCATTAAAAAAAAAAAAAAAAAAAATGTGTTTCGTTAAATGTCTCTCAGTTCTGTTTACTGTCTTTCTGGCCTGCTAACTGAGATTTGAAACTATTTCACTCTAGTTTGATTAAATGTCATCTTTTTCCTAATTATTAACCCAGAGTGGAAAAGCTCTGTGAAAGATAAATGGAACGCCAAGGCCATATATGTGGTTGGGAAGGCAACTGCTGCATTAGGTGAGTTGTCGTCACATCTGAAAACACTTCTCTCTTGATATCATTTTTTATAAAAGTCCATCTTTGTGCTTCTTATAAACCTTTGCTATGTTGTTACTAAGTGAAGCAGACTGTGGCAGGCACCTGGTGCTCACAGGGATGTGTCAAGTGACGTTACTACCTTCAGTCATTTGGAAATGGGTTGTGCACAAGTGACAGTTTGCTGTGACACAGGTGCAACATGTTCCTGATGTGTGTTTTACCTTCTTTGTTCATAGTAAATGTCAGCAGTTGGTTCTCTTTGTTGTCAGATATTTGCTCTGCCATGATGTGATATCACCATTACATATCTTCATATCTTTTTTTTTTTTTTTTGGTGTTTTATCCACAGTAAGAAATCTGGGTCTGAACCCTTTGGGTGAAGACACAGGGACAGCAGAGGTCTTATCACGTGTTATCATTGAACGTACGATATGAGTTTATACTTGAGCATTCTTCACAGTTCACTTTAATTGAAAATTTGTGACTGTTCTGATAATTAATATGACCTTTTACTTAATTCTCATCATAGGAGAGGACACAAATATTCCACCACTTTTTTTCCCCTGTGGCTCAATCAAAAGGGAAGTCTTGCCCACGGCTTTAAGGGAAAATGGTAAGCATTCCCCCCTGCTGTGCCTCACGATTAAAACTCAAGGTGATAAGTCAAAGTGGAAACTCCCACTGGGGTTAGACTAATTATAAAATAGTAATTTGCACTACCTTTATCACTGCGGGGATCTGTTTCTTTGTTTCCAGGAGTGCCTCTGGAGACACTGACTGTCTATCAGACAGCTGAACATCCAGATCTGGAGAAAAATCTAAAGAACTATTTCACAGAGCAGGTAGACCCCCCCCCCCCCCCACAAATGCTTCTACATTTAAGAGAATACTTTTTATGTAGAAAATGCTTATTTGTCTGTGTGTTCACAGGGCACTCCGGCTAGCGTAGCTTTCTTCAGCCCATCAGGAGTGAAGTTTTGCCTAGAAGTCGTGCGGAGGCTGTCAGGTGAACACCTGACTCAAATAAAGGTATAGCTGCCTCATAGTCACACATATAAAAAATTGCAGTAGATCTTCAGTGCTTCTGACAGTCACTTAAACTTCTTTGTTTCCAGTTTGCAGCAATAGGGCCTACTACACAAGACGCAATGACAGCAGAAGGCCTGAGTGTCAGCTGTGCTGCAGAAAAGCCAACAGCCGAACACCTGGCAGCAGCGATAGCAAAAGCTCTACAGTAACAGCCACCACCACTCTAAATCCATCCACTTTATCTCCCCTCTATTCTGTTTTATTTAAATGTATCATCATTTGTCTGCTTTGTTTTACCTGCTTATCTTACCAGTTATGTATGTATGTATATTTAGACTTTTTTTGCACTGAGAAAAAGTGGCATCTTGTGCCATAGAAGCCACGAAAATGTGAGTGAATATAATTATAATTCTATTTATGTTGAGCTTGCTCAAGAAAGTCAGTGTATATATATTTGAAAATAAATTTTGGTCAAGTGTGGTGATATGAAAGGTTGGTCATGGTGTTTATTCACTGTAAAACACTCAGTGTGGTGTGCTGTGTGTGTCTCTCCTATTCAGAGCAGGTGTTGGCAGAGGTCACGGTTGTCCTAAAACGCTGTTATTGTCCACATGAAAGCAAAGGTTTTCACTTGGTTCTATAGGTCAACAACAGTCCATTTCAAACCACTGGAGCGTGTATAACACATCCATACAAACCAGTCAAAGTGAGCAGTTGCAGACAGTAAAGATGGGTTTACTTTTCACACAAGGGTGAGAAAAGTGGGATACCTCCAGAGAGTCGCACCTTCAGATGGGTGTGGCGAAACTCAAGGATTTGCCTATAAAATAGTGTGACTTCTCACTTGCCATCATTTCACTTGTATATAATCTCAAGACTAAACCAACGCCACGATGCTGACTTCTATCCAGCTGATAGTTTTGCTTTTTTGGACCAACATTAGCTCAGCTGATGCAGAGAAACTTTTTCACAATCGCGATCATTCTGATGTGCGAACCCTTAATTCTCACCAGGCTGAGGTTATAACAGACAAGTACAAAGCAGAGGTAAATGCTCAGTCTTTTTTAAGCTTTAACTCCTATCAGATTATTCATTTCACAGTACAATATAGGACCCATATGTAATTTAACCCTTGTCTTGTTCTAGTTATTTCTCTCCAGATATGGATTCATGAAGCCAGTGAACTGGGAGGAGATCCGATTTGAAGATTCACACACCAGCTTCAGTGGCGACTTCCTCGATGATCTTCAAGCCACGATTCAGGAGGGGACCTCGGTGCCTCATTCAAGGGATGCTCCTCAAGATGACTACAAGATACCAACTGAGAGCGAAGCTTTTGCTTCAGCACTTAAAGAGTTTCAGAAGGTATCAGGCCTGCCTGTCACAGGTGTGTTTGATGAGGCCACCAAGGTGGCAATGAACAAACCAAGGTGTGGGGTACCTGACAAGGAGATTGACCTGAATACGGCTGTAGCAGCTGAGAACAGTAGTGCCTCAGATATTGAAAACAGCCCTGGTGACACTTACGAGACTGATAGTAACAACACAGCGACTAATATAATCAGCGACACTGCTTTTGGTGCTGCGAACTCCTCTGAAGATGACATATTCAATTTTAATGACACAGAAAGTGTCCTCACAGGCATTTCCAATGACACCAGCATGAATTACACAGAAGAATTTAACTCTTTTGATGTCACCTCTCTAAACAGCTCACATGATATCATCATGGACAGTCAGAAGGTAAATATCAGTGCGAACCTACAACAGAGCAAAGAGGTGCGGCGCAGGAAACGTCACCTTGCTGCTCTTGTATCCAAAAGCAGGCGCAAGAGAGATTTGGGTGAGACCGGCTACATGGCCTTTTCTAAGAAAGTGCTGAAATGGAGACTTATAGGAGAAGGCTACAGCAGTCAGCTGACTGTGGAAGAGCAGAGGTACATCTTCAGACTGGCCTTCCGGATGTGGAGCGAGGTGTCTCCGCTGGAGTTTGTGGAGGACACTCGTTCCCCGCTGGAGGACATCGACATCAGGCTGGGCTTTGGTACAGGTGGGTCTCAGACAATACAATGAAACTCAATGCAACATATTTTCTTGAAGAGATTTGTAAAAAACATTTAAAGAACATTACTCTCACGGAATATATAGTTATTTGAGTAAAGTTAGTGATAAAATTTTAAAGTACAGGATTTAAGTGTTTTGCTGACTCAAATATTTACAGTAAGTACACATTTCACATTTTAAAATTTACAGTTGGAGTAAGTAAGACACGGCTCCTACAAAATGCATCGGTTAAATGATAAAATTAAACCATTATGCTGTTATTGGAGAACAATATAGACTGTTTGAATAGCTTTAAAGTTAAGAACCAATATATTCCAGCTGTAATAGACATCAGCGGTGTTCCATAGAGCAAGGAAATGTTGTTTTTGTACAATAAAGCTTTGAATGTCTTTGCTGCAGAACAGCTGGGTGACTTAATTTTTTTCACCATACTGCATGTAGATTATATTTTATTCAAATAAACAGAGAAAACAATGCACCTGTTAAAATTACCTGTCCTTTTATCCCACATAGGAAGACATCTTGGATGCAATCAGAGGTTTGATGGCACTGGTCAAGAGTTTGCCCACGCCTGGTTCCTGGGTGATATACACTTTGATGATGATGAACATTTCACTGCTCCCAATGCAGGCAGTGGGATCAGTCTTCTCAAAGTAAGCATATGACATCAAGAATATAGGAATCATCTGTAAAGTCCAGTTGAAGCTCAGTCATTCTAACAACATTTTAATTTCCCATCCGTTTTAGGTGGCGGTTCATGAGATCGGACACGTCTTGGGTCTCCCCCACATATACAGACCTGGATCTATAATGCAGCCCAGCTATCTGCCACATGAGTCTGTCTTTGAGATGGACTGGATGGACAGGAAAGCCATACAGCACCTCTATGGTACGTGGTTTCAGCACCATCTAGTGGATACATTCGCGTACAGATCCAGAGACGAATTAAGGTTCACTTGTCAGACTGCCACACAAAACCAGTACTTTTTCCTTCCCCAGGGGGCTGTAAGGGTCGGTTCAACACAGTGTTCGATTGGATCAGAAGGGAGAAGACGCCCTACGGGGAGGTGGTCATCCGCTTTAACACCTATTTCATGAGAGACGGCTGGTATTGGCTGTATGAGAACAGAAATAACCGGACACGCTATGGTGATCCAGTTGCACTGCAGATCGGCTGGCGTGGAGTTCCCCTGGACGGAGTGGATGCCTGTGTGCATGTGTGGTCCAGAAAAAGAGATGCTGTTTACTTCTTCAGAGGTACTCTTATGTCATATTACATGTGTAAATACATATAGATATTAGCACCTGTCAGCAGGGTGAGGAGAGGTGAAAGAGGTATTGAGTAAGTGTTGTTGTTGTTGATGTTGTTGTGTTCAGGTACTCAGTTCTGGAGGTATGACAGCGAGAATGACGGGGTATTCACGCAGGACCCGGAAGGTCACCGCTATCCGAGGTTGATCTCTGAAGGTTTCCCAGGGGTGCCCAGTCCTATCGACACGGCCTTTTATGACAGGAGGGACTCCCACATCTACTTCTTCAAAAACAGGCTTGTGAGAATGACACCCTTATCTTCTCTTTGACACATGACAAATGGGGAGCTACAAAGGGGAACGCATCGGGATTGTTAGATTAATTGGAAACAACAGTAGATTTGGGGATCGCGTGAGAAAAGCCAAGTGAGATGAGACGCCGGGGTTGAATCAAGGCTCGACTGCCAACCAGGCAAAAAGGGAAGCAGCCTGTCAAAGACTACAAAAGCCCCATGGAACTGTGTATCAAGTTTTAGTAATTAGTAATTTGATAAACTGCACAAATGTCAGGAAATATCAACTAAGGCTAGTCCTGCCTTATTACCGCCACATTAAAAATTTTGTCTGGCCCTGTGTCAAAATCTAAATAAACCTATCAAATGACCACAAACTGACTGTCACACAGAAAACCTGGAGCCTATTATTATAACATGGAATTACCATTTGGTTTCTTGGCATATAATGAAGCTGCCGTGTATAGCCTGCTCTGTATTTAAAAGGAATGAGGAGGCAGCAGGGTACATATGTAATGCACAGAGGGCATTATGTATGTATCCTAGTCGGGGGTCTCAACAGGGGGCCAACAGCTCATTTCTGCCCTGGGGCCGCTCTAAAATTTTAATCCCTCCCTCGCTTACTTGTCATTACAACCAGTGTTTCCTTATGTGATGTGTAATCTAACAATACTAGTTTGTACAACAAGTGGATATACAATAGTAAGTCTTGAAGAGACTAAAACCCAAGCTAATTTATTGTTTTCTCGGCATTATGAGGGAATGTATTCATGCAAACAAACCTGCCACGCTTCCTCTGTGATTTTGTTTGCACACTGTAATTGAATTGATTACTATATAAGAGGGAAAACAATTATGTGTTCAAACAGGTGTATGCATTCGACGTTGAAGCCAACAGCTTGGCAAGAGGCTTCCCCAAAAACATCAGAGATGTTTTCCCTCCGGTGGTGAGCGGAGACCATCCAGATGGCAACATTGATGCTGCCTACTTCTCCTACACCCACAATGCCATCTTTCTACTCAAGGGCGCGCGCTTCTGGCAGGTGGTGGGCAGCCGCGATCGCTGGCGCTGGCTCTTTCTGCCACGGAATGGCCTGCTGCCACACAAGGAGGTGGATCAGCACTGGTTCGACATCTGCAACGTTCATCCCACCGCACTCAAACTAACCCGCTGAGGGCGTTGAAGCGGAGATGTGATAAGCCCTACTGGCGTGTTTCTACTGATTTTACCTGTCGTTGTAAGTATACATGTTATATTTGAGTAGACATCCATTATATACCTTTTTTTCTGCCCTGCTTATTGTATAATCTATCTGAAAGACAAAAACAAGATTCAAGCATTTTTTTTGGCAAATTTTCACTGAGGTGTGTTATTAATATATCTAACAGCTGCTGTGTCTCTCACTTAGAGGTGCCAAATGCAATCTAGCATGAAAACAATCCTGAGGGACCTCTTATGATTAAGATATTTAGAACATTAGTGAGAAGAAATTTATTTATAGAGTGTTTACTCGGCCTTTATACAGACAGTTTTTTACTTACAGATACATATAATATAGCTGAGACCTATCAAGCTTGGTGTGCTCCAGTGCAGTGCTGCTTTAAAACAGCACGTTCACAAGGAAACGGGATTATGCAAAAACTAATGAACCAAGGTGTACGCATGTGCATATTGTGAACTGTTGGAGTGACTTCTCGTGTTAGATACATTGGCCCTATATCTTTTGAAGAAACATGCATAAAAGTATTTCCATTATTATGCATGCATAAAAACGGAAATGTATTCAGAAGACTGAGAGTGGTCTCTGGGTAAACGAACAGATAGAAAGCATGCTGTCTTTTAACATAATGGTATAGAAGAAGTAAAGTCATATAATGATGTATAATGTATATCATCTGATATATTGCACACAATGATTTACAATATTCATTCAGATTCCTTTGGAATATTTCTTATTTGTGCAATATGTGACTGGGAAGGATGCTAAATTATTACCAGATCCTCTCGTTTCCCTGTGGTGGTGGTGGTGATGATGGTGATGATGATGGGTATGGATATACTGGTTCCCATGGCCTCTTGTTGGCTTGACTATCTCCACTGACTGTATGAAACCACCACTCTCCTCTGAAGCACCCGCAGAAACTCGCATCCATCCGCTGCCCGCAGGCAGGAAAGAATATCATGCGACCTGGAAACCACGATACAAAAACCCCTTCAGTATTTCAGTTATGATTCATCCCTCGCAGTGCAACAAGTTCTGGGCTCATATGGGAAAAAACAATATGAGCTTTATCAATAAAAAAACCTAGAGGTGGTGGAAAACAGAACTATAGTGATCCAGTTTTTCTTGTTATGAAAGGTTGGCTTAAAGATTTACACGCAATCAATCAAAGAAAAAGGAGCCTATTGAAATTTAGATTGAAGCAAAATGATTGAAAAGGGGGACTCATCTCATTACTTAATGCTGTTTCATTTTATAGTAATCATTTGAGCATGGTGCAAAGAAACAGACATTGATTCTGTAATCAATATGTTACTTGAACACTCTTATTAATGCAGCTCATCTTAGGAGATTAAGCTCCTGGTGGGCTCCAGATAACTAGCGTTGTGCTCCAGGCACTCCATAGGCTATATTAATAAATTGAAGTAGAAATCAATTACAAGCAAAGCAACAAAATGTCATGGTAAGTGGAGCTACAGAGATGGATGTTATGAGATGATGAGTTTGCGCACACATTAACAGAATGAGCTCCTCTCTCTGTGAGGGCATTAATAGCATACAAATAACTGTCCTTGTTCATATTTCTCTGCTGAAGACGTGTGCTTGTTTTCTTGAGCTAATATTCAGTGATCCCTTGTCATTTTCATGGTATTATATCCAAGGCTTTTGAGTGAATAAATAGGTGTGGGCATCATTTCCGACTTCACAGTTCAGCAAATTCCTCTTAAAAATTTAGATATTTAAGATTCTAACAATGTTTACATGGATATCATCACCCCAAAATAACTAATTAACATTTTGTAATTCAGACTAAAGTCCCATTTGTTTGAATCTAATGTGCCATATGCTTGTTGCTGCAGTGCATTGCTGTGTGGTTGACATCTCAGCAAGAATTACAGATAGACTAATACGGAATTTGGTACAGAAGATAATGCAGTGCAGTGGAGGCTTGTGATCTGTTTGTTTATCCCATTATGAGGCGCCATACATCTCCCGCACCCTGGAGTTCCCCATACATAGAAATCCTAAATACAAACTGTTATTCACACATGCGAGTCCCCGGCTGCCATACTGCACAGCTCAATGATCTGTGTTTTTTTTTTTTTTTGCAGTAACAGTGCTGCTATTGAAGCTCCCTTCCCCACACCGCGGGCCTCTTTGGATGCGACTAGGATAAATGAGATCAGTCATGCTGATAGAGCCCGTGCTGCAGCAGCCCCAGAGAGATACAAAAAAAACCTGTGTCATGGCACAGGAATCCACATGGGAGGCACTTCAGAAACAGGAGAATGGGACAAAAAAATCCCCGCAGCACATTCATATCACAAAAAAAAAAAAAAAAAAAAAAAATTCCCCCAAACTCTGCCAAGGCGCAGAGATAACTTGCAGTGGTGTTGCCTCATTTTCTGTCTCAAAGCGGTGTAGAAAACACAGGAATAAATCATTTATGGAATCATTTCAAATGAGTGTCATATTGTAATGTGTCTTTGCATGTGCCGTGGGATTAGTTCGACAAACTGCTGCATGAAGATGGTGCATTGCATTTAAATGTATCATCAAGATACATTTGACTGCGAGTGCTAGACTTTCAAAGGTATCCTCCCTTGTCCCTTGTCTGGGGTTGAAGTTCAAGGACAATATTACTTTCAGTCTCTTCGTTTATACATTTTTAAAGTAAACACTTTGCAGTCTTTCCTCTGTGATAGAATCTGCGGCATTTCATTCTGTTAGTCACACCTCGTGGAAAGAATGTTGAAAAGTTTCAATTTATTGTACACTTTATCCATTGTATATCTCGTGATAGTCGCACAGCACTGTGAAAATCTTCTGCAGAAATAGAGCGAAGTGAAGTGGTAACCTCATAAGGTTAAAAAAAACAAAACAAAACAAAACAATTCCATTACTTCAAGAGTATTGATCAGCGACCATGGAGAGGACTCATGAGGATGGAACAGCTTCCTGCTTCCCATTCTCTTACCCCGCTCTGGTGTACCTTGATATTTCCTCAGCCATCACTCATTGTGACCCACCAACTGAAATTCAAAGCCATTTATTTTCTGGTGTTTTATCATTGAAGGGGGTTTAACACAGTTTATGAAGCTGCATTATATGGCAACAGACGGTTAAATCTCAGCTTGACTTTTGCATTTTGACAGTTTTGACCTTGAATCACATCATGAATTGTTGGACAGAATAACAGAATGGACAAAATGCCATGTAACTTAACCATGTAACACAATGAGTTAGTGTTTAACCAACAGTTTAATTAATTAAAGCAGTATTCTAGTAATTTTGTGTTGTTCTTCCATAAAGTTCGGGGACTTGCAAAAGAAAATGGTGTAAAATGGAAGCTGTAGTGGCCGAGATATGACTCCATGTCCCTGATGTATATCCAGTTCCAAAATGACTGTATCCTACACTTCCCATAATGCAACTTGAAAGCATCTTTTTGTTAGACCATCCTTGTCAAAGTCAACGCCTCTTCTCTTTAAGGCAGGCTTTCTTTTAAAAATAAGATAAACCTGTTGACATTACTCAGGTTATTTTCTGAGACCAATGAAGACACACCACGGTTTTCACCGACAGAGGAAGGAAGGGCTCCTTTAATATTCTATAGATTATTTACATTTAATAATTAACAAGTAAACAAAAAAGCATGCATGGTATAGCACTGAAACATTATCCTTAATATAAATCAAAAATAATGATAAAAGAAAACTGCCCTAAAGGCTGCATACAATATTACAGTTCTTCATCCTCATACTTCCATATGAAGCCTTCCACTTATCCATATTTTACACACACCTGCACTTTATCTTCATCAAACAACACGGCACTTTTGACAGGCCATAGATTAGCATCTGTGCCTTCTAAGTCTTGTATGACTGCCGTATTAAAATGGAAATCCAGGAACATAATATTGTGCCTTCAAGTTGGTAAACTCATCTTTCATGCTTCAGAAAAAAAAAAAGGTGCCAGTAGGGGGCAATCTCAACACACAGTAGGGTCAACTAGGACTGCTGCATGGACCCATAATTGTCAGTCTCTATCGCACATTGGTATCACAATCAACATGTGATCTTAGGCAGGTTTTTTTTTTTTACAGGTTTGTATGTGTGATTTACATGAGCGCATGTGCATTGTGACTTTGTTGTGTTTTGTGATGCAGTGGCATCGCAATCCCAAGAGAAGTTTCCACTGTGGAACAGTGACGTATACCCCATCTTACCTTATTCAGTTTTTAATCTATCGCTTTTTTTCAAGTTTCAAGTCATCTATTACATTTTTATTTACCCCACAAACATGTTTGACATTTTTATTATTAATGTGTTAATATTATGCGTTTTGTTTTTTTGTTTTTCTCCAATGAGAAATGTGAGAGTTGGACCAACGCTTATGATTGCTATTCAAGTATATTTTATGTATGTTGTTAATGTGTAGTTAGAGTATCTCTGTGTAGTGGCCATGGCTGTTTTGGGAGCGGAACAAGAAAGGGGAATTCTTTCCACATACTGTTATGTGTCCCCCTTGTTGTCAGAGGCCTACTGTGGAAATGCTGACGTGTGTGTGTGTGTGTGTGTGTGTGTGTGTGTGTGTGTGTGTGTGTGTGTGTGTGTCTGTATGTCTTTTCTTTTGAAATGACAGGTTATGGAAATACATTTACCTGGGTATACACACTCCTATGCGCTGTGTTCCACTATGTTTCACCGTGTTTGAAAGGGAATTTGTTGCTTCTGCCACAGCCGAACCGAGGTAGAGTGCGGATCAGCATTTATTTTGCAGTAATAAGCGTGGAATTCAGACTTTTCCTGAAAAGCGGATTTTGAGTTGAAAGTTGTTTTGCGTATTAACTCTGAGTGGCATCGTTAACAAGGCTTGTTGTTTGGCTTGTTTACAGTGGTTCAAAAAAATCAAGCAGTCTCTCACCTCACTCAGCAAGATGCACACAGGAATACACGTCTCAGCGTACGCCCGCGCATACACATGTGCACCCTCACAAGGAACGAACACACACACACACATACACACACATGCACAGATGTTCCCCCACACGTGTCCCCCTGCCTCTCTCCCCTCCCTTCCTGCTTCTCTTCCTGCCCCCAGATAAAGAAGTTGGGATTAAAAGAGAAAAAAAACACTGACTGATGCCTCTCAATTTCACATTCAAATCAATATTTCAAAAGCTTTATCATCAAATAGTTTCAAGCAAAGAGCCCCTCACTAAGGATCTTTAATGTTGAGAGAGGTAAATAGGATTTGGAATTCACAAGCCCAAGCTTTCATGCAGTCATTATACCGTGAAGAAGAAACTCTCTTTGTGTGACAGAAAACTGTGTAAGTCTGCAGTAAAAGCATTTTTTTAGACACCAGAACAAGTATCTTTGACTTTATATTCCTCCTCAGTTACACATGTAAGCAAGAGTCTCTATGCCAAATGGAAATAGTACAGTAATTACATATCTCCTCCTGAGAATAGTCCATTCATCAAACAGACTAATTTGAATGAGGAATCCAAATCATGCAAGTGTAATTAAGCATTGTGCAGCCTCATGCATAATGCAGCATTTAGGTATTGACTAAATACCTGATAAACAAATAGTGTGGGTGTGGAAGAGGATATGTTTGTCATACGGCAAGCGATCCGCCCAATAAATGCAGCCGGCCTACTAATTCGCCTCCATATATGGCAAAGGAATCTCTCTCCCACCCACTGCAAGCTTGAACCTTGACCTTTGGCTAAGGAGGAGTTTTAGAGACAAAACAAGGGTCTTTCTGGTAATGTCAGGCTGAGTGGCAGCTGCAGGTCAACGGTGGTGGTGGTCGTGTTGGTGTGTGGGGGGTGGAGCGGGGGGTAGAGGGGAGGGGGCTGTCCCACGCATGGCCACACAGAAGTGACTGCCCGGCCTGCCACCTCCATTTCGAGCCTGGGAAAGTGACAGGAAACGTACGTGCCATGGCGGGCTTTGTCAAAGAGGAGGGGGGGGGGGCAAAATGAAAAGAAGCTTGCACGTGGGATTGGACTGGCAGATGAAACATCTAACGCTTAAACAATCTACAAGCTTACACTTTTAAGAGTCAATTCAACCCCATTAAAAAAAAAAAAAACATGTTTTCTCACTTACTCATCTAGCTGTGCGGACAGTTTCATAGGGACTATTTCTTTGCCAAAAAGAAGTTCCTCTGAAAAGTGTTGACAGAGTTATGTTGTGGATTAGTCAGAGTAAGAAGGACTTTTTTCTTTTTCTGCAAAGACTCCCTGCTGCTAGACGGCAAATAAAATTCAGTTCACCTCCATTGTCTTGCAGTTGAGGCAGAAATCTCCGATATCTCAAAATGCATTATGCCAAATTAAACCCAAACTCTCTGCGAGGCTGAATAACACTTGCAGTTAAGTGAGAAAATGTGTTTTTGTTTTGTAATTTATGTGAACCAGCCTTTTAATTAGTCTGAGAGAAGTCACGGACTAGCGTTGTCACTACAAGGCCTTTGATTAATTTGTTCAGCAGCTGTAATAGACTCTTTTTATTTACCTTCAAGTGTCTCTGTGTTTTCGTTTGCAGTGATCCCAACATCATGCACTCCCACAAAATATGGCATGGTGCTGGTACCACCTGTCAACAAAATTGTCTACATCTGAGCAGCCCTTTTATTCCCTTCTGAGCCACAGACACACACCTGCTTATGAGATTGCTTTTACATTCAGGAGCACCGAACAAGGAATTTGTCAAGTGGCCGAGCGCTGGGGTTTGTCTTTCCTCCTCCCTCCCTCTCTCCCTCCCTCCCGCTGCTCCTCCTCCCCTCGCCCACCACCGCCATCAACGGCTGTCCCTCTCCTCTCCCTGTCCCCTCCATCTCTCTCCTGCTGCTGTCTCCAGATCCCACCCTGATTTCATCCTCACCTCAGCAACCCCCCCCCCCCTTCCCCTCTTTCTCCTCCATCCTCCTCCTCTCTTCGCTTTTCGACCAGAGGAACAGATGGGATTGAACCCAAAGGGGTGGGTGGGTGGGAGGGGTGATGGTTGGGTTTGAACAGTCCTTTACTTAACTGGGGGGGAAGGGTGTCACACTTTGTGTTACATGCCAGTCTGTGTGTGCGTGTCCAGGTTTCACTTTGAGCCTAAATTTGTGCTGGAGGACTTTTTTAAAAATCTTATAGGTCTTTTGGACTGCAGTAACATACAATTTGTAAAAAAAAAAAAAAAAATAAAAATAACAAA